AAGACAGATCTAGGCGAAAGAGGAAGAGGAGGAGGAGGAGGAGGAGGAGGAGGAGGAGGAGGAGGAGGAGGAGCTGGAGGCCATCGCGGATCTTCTTCTCCGAGAAGCCTTGTTGGGCCATCTCGGGGACCACTTGGGAGCATCGGTCACCGTCTGGGAGTCACCCCCTTCCCCTGTTGTGCATCGTTTTTCTTTTGGTCGTTGCTGTTTTCTTTTGTTCTTTCGCTCTCTCTCTCTCCCTCTCTCTCTCTAGTGTTCAGCGTGTGTATATATATATATGTATATATATATATATATATATGTATGTACCTATACGACCACCCTTTGGGTGATCAGGAGGTTCGGGGGGGGGGAGGAACCAACGTCTCACTCGATCGGTCTCACTATCGATCTCACTATCGGTTCTCGCTCGATCGATCTCACTCGATCGATTTCACAATCGATCCATCTATTTTGTTCGATCGATCTCACAATCGATCTGACTATCGATCTCACAGTCGATCTCACTATCGACCTCATTATCGATCTCACAATCGATGTCACATTCGGTCTCACTGTGAATTCCACTATCGATGTCACAATCGATCTCACAATCAACGTCACCATCATCATCAACATCATCTTCACCAACATCATCAACAACATCATCACCATCATCATCATCATCATCATAATCATCATCATCATCATCATCGGGACACCACCATCATCATCACCTCGTCACCATCATCAACATCATCAGCATCACCATCATCACCATTGGGACAGCATCATCGTCATCTTCATCATCATCATCATCGGGACATCATCGCCATCAGCGGAAAACCACCATCATCATCTCATCATCACCATCATCATCAACATCATTATCATCACCGGGACACCATCATCATCAACATCATCAGCATCATCATCGGGACACCATCATCATCGTCACCATCATCAGCATCACCATCATCAGCATCATCGGGACACCATCATCATCATCAGCATCAGCATCATCATCATCATCACCATCATCGGGTCACCACCATCATCACCGTCATCGGGCCACCTCATCATCATCATCACCATCATCGGGACACCATCATCTTCATCATCATCATTATCATCATCGGGACACCATCATCATCACCATCATCATCAGCATCATCATCATCATCGGGACACCTTTATCCTCATCTTCATCATCATCATCATCATCATCATCGCATCATCATCTCATCATCATCAACATCATCATGATCATCGGCATCATCATCATCGGGACACCATCATCATTATCATCATCAGCAACATCATCATTATCATCGGCAGCATCATCACCGTCATCGGGCCACCTCATCATCACCACCACCATCACCATCATCAGCATCACCAACATAGTCAACATCATCATCATCATCATCATCATCATCATCATCATCATCATCATCATCGTCATCATCATCATCATCGGGACACCATCATCATCATCATCACCACCATCACCATCATCATCATCATCATCATCATCATCATCATCATCAAAATCATCATCGACATCATCATCATCATCATCATCATCATCATCATCATCATCATCATCATCATCATCATCATCGGGACTCCGACGGGACACCGGCGGGACACCGGCGGGACACCGCGCGCCACCAGCCCCCAGTCAGGAATCATTTGGTCCGGCCGTGCCTCAGCCGTAGGCGGGACACCGGCGGGACACCGCGCGCCACCAGCCCCCGGTCAGGAATCATTTGGTCCGGCCGCGCCTCAGCCGGAGGCGGGACACCGGCGGGACACCGCGCGCCACAGGCCCCCGGTCAGGAATCATTTGGTCCGGCCGCGCCTCAGTTGGAGGAGACTTTCTTCTCGCCCGCCCACGCAGCTTCGCCTCGCCCGCACGCACGGCACTCACGAACACGAAACCGAAACCGATTTCCCGGTAGGGTGGCTCTCCGTTCCACTTCGATCTCACCCCTCACCTCCGACGACTGTAGTCATCCAGCTGCCCATGAACTTCTTTCCTTTCTTTCGGTACCAATACCTATATGCACAATCGTATGTGCGTAGATCGAGTGTTATTCCTTTCCAGTACCAGTTGAATTCATGTGTGTATGTACATTCTTGTATGTGTGTATGTATACATGTACTAACACCATCGCCCACATGATGTGATCGCTAGCGCTTTCTCTCCCCTTCATGCTCTCTCTTTACCTCTCCCTCTTTCTCGGTCTCTCAATTCCGCTCTCTCTCTCTCTGCGTCTCTCTCTCTCTCTATCTCTACCTCTCGCTGTCTTCCTCTCTTCATCCCTTCCTCTCCCTCTCCCTCTACCCCTCGCTCTCCAAGTGCTAGTTTCACGTTGTTCGTTTTTTTTCTCTCTCCCTCTCCCTGTCTGCCTGTCTCTCTCTCTCTCTCTTTCCTTCTCTCCCTATGTATACAACCTCGGAATGTCCATCAATGTATAGGTATACGAACACATATCTAAGCATATGTATGCGTATGCGCGTGTATATGCTCCCCTCTTAATCAACCTCTAAATCTATGTCTATATAGATATATGTGTATGTGCACCCCCATGTCCGGGAGGAGGGGGAGGAAGAGAAGGAGGATGAGGCGGAGGACGAGGGGGTATGGCTGGAGGGGAAAGCAGGGAGAGGACGGGAATGGGGGAGAGAGTGAACATGATGGGGGGTACGGGGGAGCATAGGGGGGAGTGGTAGCATGGGGGTCGGCCAAGTCTGCCAATTTGAACGCACCTGCGGGCCCCGCCGATGCCCACCCTTCCTCCCAACAACACAAGGATCGGTCGTGGCGCAACTTGGCACTTGTCTTCGAACGCCTTCCCACCCGGCGAACCGACGGCGCCCGCGCGCGGCCCCGCGTCCGACGACCTCTGGCGGCTGGAAGCCTACGCGGGCCGCGAATGGGGCGGGATCGGGACAATTCCTACGAGCGCGGCACGCACGAGCCGTGTGCCGCGCCGAAGCAGCGCCGCCACGTCCACGCACAACCTGCGCGGCGGGTGACGACAGCATGTCGCCCGCTCTCGCGCGGCCCCGTTGCCGCTGCCGCCCCCATGCGATTCGGCATCGGCCCATGCGCCGCGCCCGTGCGGGAGCGCCCCTTCCACGCGACATGCGCACGGAGCTTGAGTGAGGGCGACGCGTGGACCGCTCGCGCGTGGGCCCGCAACCTGGCGGGCGACAGCTGCGCGCCGCGCAGTGGTGGGAGCGAAGCTTTCAAGTAGCATCCGCACGGCGCCGATGCGAGAAGCACACGTTCGCCCGCTCGTGCGCCGACGAGTTGGCGTGCGACAGTTATGCGCCGCGCTCGAGGGGGAGCAGAACTCTCAGGAACACGAGTGCAGCGTCGAGGATCTCGCCGCCTCGCGAGGGATGCGCGCCCTGTCCAATTCCCGTCGCGCGTTTTGCAACGCCGATGCCACAGGGTCCATATCAGAACAACTGCGCTGATTTCGCACAGTTTTCAACATGCAGGATGCCAGGCGAGGGCCTCGATTGGGGCCTTTCGGCCCGCTAGGTGGTAAGGAATCTGAGTGTGTGAACAAGGGAAGGACGGGACGGGGGGAGTAGGATAAAGGGGACGGGGGGAGTAGGATAGGCAAGATGACGAGGATGGGGAGAGTGAGGGGCGCGAACACATGAAAGGAAAGAGGGACGGGACATTGACGAGGGGGAAGAGAAGGACGAAGAGGAGGAGGAGGAGCAGGAGGAGGATGAGGAGGAGGGTGAGGGGGGAGGGGAAGATGGGGCGGGAATTGGAAGCATGAAGAGGAGGGGGAGGAACAGCCAGCCGGGCGAGGATAGGGAGGAACGGGAGGATGAGGAGGAGGAGGAGGAGGAGCAGGAGGAGAAGGACGAGGAAGGGAAAGTGGGAGGAGGAGGAGGATGAGGAATATCAGGGGGGATGATGATGCTGCTGATGATGCTGCTGCTGATGATGATGATGAGGAGGAGGAGGAGGAGGAGGAGGAGGAGGAGGAGGAGGAGGAGGAGCAGGAGCAGGAGGAGGAGGAGGAGGAGGAGAAGGAGGATTCTGCTACGAGGATTCTGCTATCCTGATCAGCCCAACAATTCCCACGAGTGTGGGGCCGACGAAAAGACGCGGCCGAGAATTCAACCACCGCGTGTCGCCCCCCCCGCGGCGGCGGCGTTGGCGCCCGCGCTCCGACGCGGCACACTGGCCGCCGCCGCAGGGGCCACCGGCCCCAGCCCCTGAGCCGGGCGGCGAGCGGAGGATGGGGCCTGGGGGCCCCGAGCTGGGGGGGGAACCCAGCAAGGGGGGGAGCCCCAGGTCGCCGACCCCCGATCGCCCCCCCCCCCGGGGGGGACGCACCCCAAGCCCCCAAAGTGCGGCCCCACCTCCGCCGGTCGTTGGGTCGGTCGCCCGCCAGTTCTCGGGTTGGTCGCCCAGGACCTTCGTCCGGTGGCCCCCACCAGTTTCGTTATCCCGACCTCCAGCTGGCCGTCGACCACCTTGGGCTCCCCCCGACGGTCCCGGTGTGCTCACCGGGCCCCTGGCTTATGTGTGGGGGAGGGGGAGGGGGAGGAGGAGCAGGAGGAGGAGGAGGAGGAGGAGAAGGAGGAGGAGGAGGAGGAGGAGGAGGGCGAGGAGAAGGAGGACGAGGAGGAGGATGAGAGGATAGTATGAGTATGAGTATGAGTATGAGTATGAGTATGAGTATGAGTATGAGAGTATGAGTATGAGTATGATGATGATGATGATGATGATGATGATGATGATGATGATGATGATGATGATGATGATGATGATGATGATGATGATGAGATGATGATGATGATGATGATGATGATGATGATGATGATGATGATGATGCTGATGATGATGATGATGATGATGATGATGATGAGGAGGAGGAGGAGGAGGAGGAGGAGGAGAAGGGGAGTGTGAGGAGGAGGGGGGCGAGGAAGATAAAAGCGAGACTATCATGTTGACTGGCTCTTCACGGCCCACCGGGAAGGAGCACGCAACTCGGCGTGGCGCACGTGCGCGGCCTCAGGGACGACGATGTGGCGCTCGAGTTCGAAAGGCCTGGTAGCGCGCGCTTGTTCTTCCCATGGTGCCCCCCCCCCGTGTTCTCCCCTTCTCACTCTCACTCTTCTCTCTCTCTCTCTCTCTTTCTTTGGGCTTCTCTCTCTCTCTCTACTCCCTGTTTCGCTCTCTCTCTCTCTGTCCCTCCCTCTCTCTCTCTCTCTTTTTTCTCTGTCTCTCTCTCTCTCTCTCTCTCCCTCTCCCTCTTCCCCCCCCCCCACAGGTCTCCCAGTGCCCACTTCTCCTTGCCCCCCTCGCCCCGCCGTCTGCCGCCACCTTCGGCACCGCCCATCCGCCGCTGCCCCTGCCATCTGTCTGTGCCCCCGCCTCTCCTCCCGCCCTCTCGCCCCTCTCGGCCCCCCCCCTCCCGCGCCTGCCGTTGCCCCGCCCCTTGCCCCCTGTCCCTGCACTCGGCCCCTGACCCTCGCCGCGGGCTTGCCCTACTCCACCCTCGCTCGCTCGCTCCCCTCCGTAGGCGACGAGGGCAGCGGTCGTGGAGGAGGGGGGGTGGGGGCTTGGCGAACATCCCGCGGGGAAGCGCAGTGGAGGCAGTGGTGGTGGGGGTGGCGAAGAGGTCATCGACAGGGAACACCCACTGCACGGGGCACACGGCCAGGGTGAGTTCTCTCCGCCGACGCTTGGCCTTTGGGTGTTCTCGTAGGGGGGTCATCGAAGTTCGCTGTCGCACATATCCACCACCGCGCTGTGGGTGAGGTGCTGCCTGGGGGTCTCGAGGCCACGTCTCCCTTCTCGTGGATGTCGCTCTTGATGTGGTTTTTATTCCGAGTGGCAACCGCATGTGGCTCTGGAGCATTACGCGACCACCCGCTTAGGCTTAGGGCCTCCCGAGCGATATTCATTCCGTCCCATTCGTGCTACATATATTCATTCCGTCCCATTCGTGCTACATTTTTCGCAACTCGACGACCTGTTGGTGATAATAATGTTGAGAGCTTGTATTGCTTTTTGACATTCGGACGGCGGGGTTGCTATCGGCCGGGCAGGTGGGGATGTGGAGCTGCTTATTCATAAGAAGTAAGGATGGGGTGGGGTGCGTGGGTGGGCTCCGGGGGGGGGGGGGGGGGGGCGCGGGTATGTATGTATGTATGCCTGTCTGTATGTCTGTCTGTCTGTATGTATGTATGTACGTACGCATGTATGTATGTATGTATGTATGTATGTATGTATGTATGTATGTATGTATGTATGTATGTACGCACGCACGCACGCACATACGTACGTACGTACGTACGTACGTACGTACGTACGTATGTATGTATGTATGTATGTATGTATGTATGTATGTATGTATGTATGTATGTATGTATGTATATGATGTGTGTGTGTGTGCGTGTGCGTGGGTGGGTGGGTGGGTCGGTGGGTGGGTGGGTGGTTGGGTGGTGTGTGTGTGTGTGTGCTCCCTATTCCCCCGCGCTGGCCCAGCTTTATTTGCCGCTCCTTGTCCTGCGCCCCCACCTGGGTGGCGCGCGGCCCGCTGGCCTCGCACCTCGTGCTCTTCGTCGGCTGCTCGCTGTTCTGACTTGCGGTGCCCGCACTGGGTCCCGCCTCAGCAGGCGCACCGGCGCAGCAACCACCTCAGTCCCCGCCGGCGGGGCTGGCCGCGCCAGCTCAGCCAGGGAATTGATCCGTCCCCAGTGGCCCTCGCCTTGCCCCCCCCCCGCTGCGGCCGCCCGCTCTGTCCCGTTTTCCCGCGTTTGCATGCTGGCCAATTCGCTACAACGTGCCCCCGTTTAGTTAGATCCTTCCGCCAGCGCAGACGACTCGTGTCTGGCCGCCGACGCAAATAAATGTGTGCGCATGCGGGCTAGGCGGATGACTGTGATGTTGCTGCTGACGGTAATAACGGCGATGATGCTGATGCTGATGATGAGGTCGCGTTGATGATAAGGTTTATGTTGAGGGTGGTGATGGCGATGGTGATGACAATGGTGATGGTGGTGATGGTGGTGAGGAGGCAGGGGGAGTTTATGTCGTGGCTTTGCTGGTGATGGCGCTGATGGAGCCGCTGATGCAGATTTTGATGATCGGCCTGCTGTTGGCGTTGATGTTGACGGTGATGTTGATTTTGCTGTTGCCGTATATGTTGATGTAGATGTTAATGATGCGGCTGATGTTGATGCTGCTGATGACGATTGCGATGATGACAATGGTGATGCTGCTGCTGCTGACGATGATGAGTGCGATAAGGAAGACGAGGGAATAGGAGGGACGAGCCAGGACAGGATATGTCCGTGGCCGGAGGATGGAGGAGGGAGGAGGGGAGTACGACGATGCTGGTAATGGTGTTGTTGATATGTCCACCATCATGCTGATAGTGCTGACGAGCAGAAGGAGGAGCATATTTCTACTGGGGATGCTGATGAGTACTGGCGGGGAGGAGGGGGAAGAGTAGGAGGCATGGAGGGAGGGAGTTTGAGAAAGACGCTAAAGAGGAGGAGGAGGAGGAGGAGGAGGAGGAGGAGGAAGAGCAAGAGGAGGAGGAGGAGGATGAGGAGGAGGAGGAGGAGGAAGAGGAGGAGAAAGAGGAGAAGGAGGGAGGAGGAGGAGGAGGAGGAGGAGGAGAAGTAGGAGGAGGAGGAGGAGGAGGAGGAGGAGGAGGAGGGAGAGATGCGGCCGCCTTTGGCATAATCAGGCGGAATCCTGGGGCAAGTCAGGGCAAGTAGGACGTTGAGGAGGAAGTCGCAGAGGACGGATGCTGATGCTACTGCTAATGCTGATACTGATGATGATACTGATAATGATTATGGCGATGCTGATGGCGATGCTGTTTGTGAAGGTGATGATGCTGATGCTGATGATGGTGGTGATGATGAAGATGACGATGATGCGGGTGACGATGATGCTGATGCTGATGCTGATGATGCTGCTGCTGGCGGTGATGATGCTGATGATGGTGGTGATGATGATGATGACACTGGTACTGATGATGCCGAGGACGTTGATGATGATGGTACTGGTGATGGTGATTGAGCTGATGGTGATGATGATGATGATGATGATGATGATGATGTTGGTACTGATGATGATGCTGATGCTGATGATGGTGGTGATGATGAAGATAACGATGGTGCTGGTGACGATGATGCTGATGATGCTGATGATGCTGCTGCTGGCGGTGATGATGCTGATGATGGTGGTGATGATGATGATGACACTGGTACTGATGATGCCGATGACGTTGATGATGATGGTACTGGTGATGGTGATTGAGCTGATGGTGATGATGATGATGATGATGATGATGATGATGCTGGTACTGATGATTATGCTGCTGCTGGTGATGCTGCTGATGATGACGATGAGGATGCTGATGACGATGATGATCAGGATGATGTCGCTGCTGCTGATGCTGACGATGCTGCTGCTGGTGATGGTGATGCTGCGGCTGCTGATGATGATGCTGATGCTGATGATGATGATGATGGTGGTGACGATGGTGCTGCTGATGATGATGCCGATTCTGATGATGATGTGGATGATGATGCTCATAATGATTATGAGGATGATGACGGTATTGGTGTTGATAATGGTGATGGTGATGATGATGACGATGGTGCTGATGATGATGCTGATGCTGATGATGATTCTGATGACGATGATGCTGGTGACTGTGATGATGAAGATACTGTTGATGGTGATGGTAGCGCCTGTGGTTGCGAGCATGCGGATGCTGCACCTGATGATGATGCTGGCGCTGCTGATGACTATGATGATGCTGATCCTGATGCTGACGATGATGCTGATGATGATGCTGATGATTGTGATGCTGCTGATGCTGATAATGATGCTGTTGTTGATGATGGTGATGATGATGATGCTGCTGATGATGATTATGATGATACTGATACTGATGATGATGGTGATGAGGATGATGCTGCTGATGATGATGGTGATGATGATGATGTTGCTGATGCTGCCGCTGCTGATGATGATGATGAGGATGATGATGATGTTGCTGCTGATGATGATGATGATGATGATGATGATGATGATGATGATGATGATGATGATGACCATGATGATGCGGCGGAAGAGGAGGATGAGGAGGAGGATAAGGAAAAGGATGATGAGGAGGAGGCGGAGGAGGAGAAGGAGGAGGAGGGGTCAAGGTGGGGAGGGTGGGCGAGGGGAAGAGGGGAGCTATGGAGGCAGATCGAGAAGGGGGTGTAGGGGGAGTAGGGAGGCGGAGCAGGATCATGAGGAGGACCTCCGTGTCCCTGCTGCCTCCCTCCCCTACTTGAAAATCCAGTGGGATAACGACAACCTCCAGGCAGCTAGCAGCACCTTGCCGAGGACGCCCTGACATCGTGCCGCCTCTCTCGTTCTCACTCGTTTCCCGTTGGCTTGTGGGTAGCGGTTGGCGCCTAATGTCAGTGGCGCTTCTGAGTGGCTTCTCCTAGCTTATCCTGCCAACATCTTTGGCTGGCGTAAGAAAGTCCAAGCCTGGAGGTTGGCGTCTGGGGGGATTGCCTGATTTCGGGGTGAGGGTCAGGAAGGCAGCGGGGCACTTCGTTGAAGGATGGGCGCAGCCTTCAGTTCAGCAGGGCAGATTTCGCCAAGCGTCGGCAGACACTGGGGGGTAGGCCCCCCCTCCTCCTTTTCCTCCGCCTGGTTGAGCCGAGTATGCATCGGCAGCGCTTCGGACTGAGTCCGAAGGACAGTTGCTGGCCTATTCGCTTTTACTTTCACCAGAGTTGGGGGGTCAGTGCAACTTCTGGCCGGAGAACACCGCCGCTCACCAGAGCTGAGGGCGCTGATGCGCCACCGCGCCACCCGTCTTGGGACGGCCTCGGGGTCTTCGTGCCCAGCCTTGCCGTACCCGTTTCGATCGTACCGAGTTCTCCTCCCTTCCCCCCCGTCCTCTTCCCCCCTACACTCCAGGCGATGCTTAAGAAAGCCCAAGTTTTCGTCCTGAGTCTCGATTATTCTTAAGTCTTCAATGCAAATCCCAATGTTTTGATAGAAGTTCTGCGTTTTTATGGAATTTCTGAGACTATGAATTTCTTAACCCATGATTTCTTGAGCATTTCGCAGGGTGTACTCCCCTCCTCCTCCGCGCCCCGCCCGCCGAGGGACTCCGGCGAGAGGCACAGGCCGCGGGCGACGCTTCTGCTGCCGCCGCCGCCGACGACGCCGCCGCCGACGGCGACGACGCCGCCGCCGTCGCCGCCGACGACGACGACGACGACGACGAAGACGACGACACCGACGACGACGATGACGACGACCCCGAAGGGGGAGGGGGGGGGGGGAACAGCACGAGAACGAGGAGAGGAGAGGGCCTTTTCCCTCCTGCTCCTTCCTCCATCCTCCTCCATCCTCCTCCATCCTCCTCCATCCTTCCATCCCCCCTCCTCCTCCTCCTCCTCCTCCTCCTCCTCCTCCTCCTCCTCCTCCTCCTCCTCCTCCATCCCTCCTCCTCCATCCGTCCTCCTCCTCCTCCTCCTCCTCCTCCTCCTCCTCCTCCTCCTCCATCCTCCCGGCCTCCATCCTGCTCCTCCCCCGCCTCAGCCCTCCTCCTCCCTCCTCCATTCTCTTCGGAGCCTCTGGAGGGCGGAGGAGGATGGAGGAGGAGAGGACGAAGGAGGAACCAGGGCATGTGGAGTAGGAGGAGGAGGAGGAGGAGGAGGAGGAGGAAGAAGAAGAAGAGGAGGGGTAGCTGTGCTACACGGTGTTGGCTTACATTACAGCACGTACACACCCCATAGAGTGATACGTGTAGCTCAACTTCAGGGTTGCTTCCATGATTGGTGAGCCTCACGAAAATAGCCATCCAGTTCTGCAGGCCCCTCTGCCCAGCTCCGAGCAGCGACTGCCGGAGGTGAACTGCGGGCACAAGCTGCGTCCTTGTGCGGTTGCGCCAGCCTTGGCACCACTCGCGCAACAAGCCAGCCGCCACCTCGACGACTGGGGCGTCGAGTGGTGATCAGGTGATTGGCTTCGCAGCAGGTTCGGGGGGCACTCGCGTGCGATGGCGTCACCGCATGGCCCGCTATTGAAGCTTCTCCCGGCCCCCCCAGTCCTCCAGGTCGTTTGCAGCAGGGGAGAGAAAATGTACCCGTACCGCTACCCCTCCCTCGTTTTCACCTTTTTGCGCCTCTTGTGAGGCCTCGTCGCCACCGCTGGATTTGCTTCGAAGTTCTGGTCAGAACGCACCCCCAGAGATGTGCGGTGAGTAGCGGCATCGGTACCTGTTCAATTTCCCAGTTTGCAGCAGGACGGTGGCAAGAATTTCGTTAAAGGCTTCAATCGGCAACCACGCGGCTTTTCTGGCAGCGGCCTTGGCCCCGCAACAGACCTTGGGATTTCCGTCGGAAGCTGAGGTTTTGAGCCTGGGTCCACTGGTGGATCGGCGCGCGATGCTTGCAGGGAGGGTAATGAAGACGCTTCCCAAGCGACCCCCTCCCTGTGTCCGCGCAGCCGTCCGCACCTGGTTGAATGGATGGTGCGCCGCACGACGCTTTGGTTCTCGTGGGCACCACTGTCGGTCGGGCTGTTCCGCGGGCGAGGTTTGTCTCCGGCATTTGTTGCGCTGTCGGATCGGTGGGGAACTGGCGCCCGCCATTTGAACTTAGATGGCCCAGGGGAGTGGCGGTCGCGCCGATAGTGGACGAGCCCGTGCGGACCCTTTGCAAACTCAAGGCCACAGAGCATTGTAAGACACTGGCCCACTCTCTCTCCATGTGCCCCTCTTGCTCAAGCCCTCTCTCCTCTCTCTCTCTCTCTTTCATTCCTCCTGTGTCTGTCTGTCTGTCTGTTTGCTTGCCTGCCTGCCTGCCTGCCTGCCTGTCTGTCTGTCTGCCTGCCTGCCTTTTTACCTAACAGCGAAGACTGATAGGTTTCTAGTTGACTCAAAAGAGCTCACAGATCACTCCACAGGGGGGTCCGGGCAGGTGTTGGGGAGTTGCCGGGCGGCAGGGTGCCGGGCTCGTTTTTCACCAACAGTCACACACTTCGTGCTCTTCGACTTCCCAGAACTCCATTCCCAGGCCACATTCTGAATACCCGGATGCAACAGTCACACACTTCGTGCTCTTCGAGATCCCAGAACGCCATTCCCGGGCCACATTTAGAATAACCGGATGCAACAGTCACACACTTCGTGCTCTTCGACATCCCAGAACGCCATTCCCGGGCTACATTTTGGATGCCCGGATGCAACAGTCACACACTTCGTGCTCTTCGAGTTCCCAGAACTCCATTCCCGGGCCACATTCCCGGGCCACATTCTGGATGCCCGGAGCCAACTGTAGGCCACTTCCTGGTCTTCGAGTTCCCAGAACTCCATTCCCGGGCCACATTTTGAATAGCCAGACGCTTCAGGAATTGCTAGTGACACTGCAGTCCACTGCATTCAATCGTGCCACTGCATTCACTCACCGCAGGAGGAGGAGGAGGAGGAGGAGGAGGAGGAGGAGGAGGAGGAGGAGGAGGAGGAGGAGGAGGAGGAGGAGGAGGAAGAGGAGGAGGAGGACGAGGAGGAGGAGGAGGAGGAGGACGAGGAGGAGGAGGTGGGGGGAGAGCACCAGGAGGAGGAGAACGAGGACCACCAGGAGGAGGAGGAGGAGGAGGAGGAGGAGGAGGAGGAGGAGGAGGAGGAGGAGAGAACACCACGAGGAGGAGGACGAGCAAGACGAGGAGGACGAGAACGAGGGCGACCAGGAAGAACCAGGAAGAGGAGGAGGAGGAGGAGGAGGGGAGGGGGAGGACTACCAGGAGGAGGAGGAGGAGGAGGAGGAGGAGGAAGAAGAGGAGGAGGAGGACGAGGAGGAGGAGGAGGAGGACGAGGAGGAGGAGGGGGGGGTGAGAGCACCAGGAGGAGGAGAACGAGGACCACCAGGAGGAGGAGGAGGAGGAGGAGGAGGAGGAGGAGGAGAGAGCACTAGGAGGAGGAGGACGAGCAAGACGAGGAGGACGAGAACGAGGACGAGCAGGAGGAAGAGGAGGAGGAGGAGGAGGAGGAGGAGGAGGATGGAGGAGGAGGAGGAGCAGGAGACAGAGGAGGCGGAGGAGGATGAGGAGCAGAGGAGGAGGCGGAGGAGGAGAGAGGAGGAGGAGGAGGAGGAGGAGGAGGAGGGGATGAGGAGGAAGAGAAACACCACGAGAGGAGGACGAGCAAGACGAGGGGGACGACACGAGGGGGACGAAGAACGAGGGCGGCCAGGAAGAGGAGGAGGAGGAGGAGGAGGGAGGGGGAGGGGACTACCAGAGGAGGATGAGGCGGAGAGGGAAACGGAGGAGGAGGAGTGAGGAGGAGGAGGAGGAAGAGGAGGAGGAGACGAGGAGGAGGAGGAGGAGGACGAGGAGGAGGAGGGGGGGGGAGAGCACCAGGAGGAGGAGAACGAGGACCACCAAGAGGAGGAGGAGGAGGAGGAGGAGGAGGAGGAGAGAGCACCAGGAGGAGGAGGACGAGCAAGACGAGGACGACGAGAACGAGGACGAGCAGAGAAAGAGGAGGAGGAGGAGGAGGAGGAGGAGGAGCAGGAGAAAGAGGAGGAGGAGGAGGAGGAGGAGGAGGAGGAGCAGGAGAAAGAAGACGAGCAGGAGGAGGACGAGGACGAGCAGGAGGAGGAGGAGGAGGAGGAGGACGAGCAGGAGGGGAGGGCGGCCGGCTGCCCCGGCCGGCTGCCCCTGCCGGCTGCCCCGACCGGCCGCGCTTGCGCCCGGCCGCGGAGCGCGGTCAAGGGAAGGGGGCGGGGGCCGGCGGTCAAGGTTGATACCCCCTCCTCGCTCGTTCCACTGCCTGCTCGCAGCAGTGGCACCAACACATGCACAAGAGATTCCTGCATGAACTGTTGTACTTGCATATATGATGGCCTTCGGCCAAAGTCGTGCGCACAAGGGCTCTGCGGAAGGCTCCCTAAGCTCGAGACGCTTTGAATGCTCTGTAGTTTCCTCGTAGCCTCCTTTCCATGCCTTTGTAGCTTCCACGCACTCCTGCGTCGCCGAGTTTCTTCTTGCAGCGTCCTTGTCGTGTCGCGGGGTGCGTTTGCGTCACTTCGGTGTTGCTGCGCCTTGAGACGTGTCTCTGCAGCTTCTTCGTCTCATCGGGGACTCCAGCGTCACCGAATTTGTTCCCGTATTGTGCTTGTCGTTCCAGGTCGTGCGCACGCGCGCAGAATGTTTCTCTGCAGCGTCCTCGTCGCATCAGGATCTCCAGCGTCACAGAATGTATCCTTGTAGCGCCTCTTCTTCCAGGGCGGCGTGGTCCTGAGTCGCCGCGGACGACTCGCCGCGGACGGTTCCATTCGATTCCACGGGCGATCGTGCGCATGTAGTTTGCCACGCGCCTGCGCGCGCGGAGAGGGCCTGGGCGCCCTGTCGCCTGCGGGCGACCGCGCGGGTTAGTCCCCGCAAATTAGCCCTCCCAGGAGTCGAAAAAGACCCCTCAAACGACCCGCGGGGCGCCCTCTCCAGGCCCAGGGGGAGGGGGTATGGGGGAGGGGTAAACCCCTCCCCGAAGGGGAAGAAGGGGGGTTGAGAACAGAGCGGGCTCCCTAAACCACTCACGCCCAAAGGGCTGGTGGGATTGATAAGGAGCAGTGATCAAACCCGAAGGGCGGCCGTAAGCCCTCGCGTTCCGCCCTCCCACCACATGATTAAAAGCCGAGTACCACCAGCCCTTGGAGGGCCTCTTGGAGCCTCGTGGGGCCTCTTGGGGGCCTCTTGGGGGCCTCTTGGGGGCCTCTTGGGGGCCTCTTGGGGCCTCTTGGGGCCTCTTGGGGGCCTCTTGGGGGCCTCTTGGGGGCCTCTTGGGGCCGCTTGGGGGGCCTCTTGCCCTGACTCTTACTCCGACTCGTGCAGTTCGCCTTACTCTTACTCTGACTCTTACTCTCACCGTTACTCTTGCTCTGACTCTTCCTCCTCCTCCTCTTCCCTTCTTCCTCGTCCCCCTTGATCTCGCCTCCCAGCTAGGAGCTCTGGTGTTTCCTCGGTCGTGCTTCGTTTTCTTTTGGTCGTGTAGCTTTCCTGACAGTCCAAGACCAGCTCGTCGTCGCCAGTCGCCAGTCGCCTGTCGACCGCCCTCCAGACGCTGTCTCAGATGATGTGGCTCGCCGTGGATGGTCCGTCTGGGCATGGGCGTACGGTGCCGACGCTCGACCATGCGGACCTCGTCCTGGCTCAGAACCACCGCATCGCAGGTCCTTCGGAGGTCAATTGTTATGAGTTCGGCACGGTCTCGGTCAAGTACAGCGTGCTGTGGGGATCCCGAGATGGGGCCTGGCTCAAGGTGCTCAAGACGTACTGGAGTGTCCCAGAGCCGGAGTGCCAGCTGATCCTCGGGAGTTGGAACGGCATTTTCAGGCCGTGGCCGGACACGTTCTGGATCAGGACGGGGGGGTCCGAGCCCGAGATGGAGTGCTAGCGCTCTGCAGTACAAGTGCTTTTCAGCATGCGACATCCTGCGGTGCTTCTCAGCCTGCAGGGTTCGCAGCGTGCGGTTTGCAATGCATTCCTTTTCAGTATGCGAGTTCCTGCGGTGTTTCTCAGGTTGCAGGGCTCCGAGGCTCTTCGCTTCGATGCCAATGTTTTCAGACACCGTAGCTCCGTTCCGTAAACATCTTCCAAGAGCCGCTCGCAACCTTTTGCAGCTGGCGGTCTGCAGACGTAGTCTGTCTCAGCATGCGAGCTCCCGCACGCTTCGCCGGCTTTTGCTGCGCGGACAATTTTCTCACACACGTCAGCGCCGTTTGTAGGCGTCAGAAAAACATGTAGACATTCACGAAGGGCTCAGTCTGTATATCGTCACATCATTACAGACGCAGTCGTCGAACACATCGGTGTACATTCAGCGCTTTGTCCTTCTAGCTGGGTCGCTTCGTGCTGAGGCTGAGGCTGATGCAGGCTGAGGCTGAGGCAGGCTGAGGCTGAGGCCGAGGCCGACGGCAGACTGAGGCTGAGGCTGAAGCAGGCTGAGGCTGAGGCAGAGGCAGGCTGAGGCTGAGGCTGAGGCAGGCTGATGCTGAGGCAGGCTGAGGCTGAGGCTGAGGCTGATGCAGGCTGAGGCTGAGGCAGGCTGAGGCTGAGGCCGAGGCTGAAGGCAGACTGAGCTGAGGCTGAAGCAGGCTGAGGCTGAGGCTGAGGCAGGCTGAGGCTGAGGCAGGCTGAGGCTGAGGCTGAGGCAGGCTGAGGCTGAGGCTGTGACTGCGACTGCCGTTGCCACTGCGACTGTCATCGCGAATGCGACTACGACTGCGAGAACAGCAGAATTCTACAACTGGATTCTCATCCGAATCTTAAGGGGAATGCTTCCAGATATGCTCCTACACATGGCTGTTAGGTTGCTTTGCCGGGATATTTTTTTTTGTGTGTGTGTGTGTCGCTCTCTCTCTCTCTCTCACTCTCTTCTCTCTCACTCTCTCTCCCTCTCTTTCTTCTACGTGATTATATATATATATAATATATTTATAATATAATATATATATATATATATATATATATATATATATATATATATGTACTAACTCTTTGTACTAATGGGTTCCTCGGTTGGGTATTTGGTCGGGCTGGGACGGCTATGGCGCGTGGTCGTTTGTAAGTTTCGGGGTCAGAGTTACTGGGGCCTGTCAGGAGGCCTCCTGAGGCCTCTTCGGGGCCGTCTGGGGGGGATCTTTGGGGCCTGCTGGCGGTCTCGAGGGCCTCTCTGGGGCGGAGGGTTCGAAATCTCGATCCGAGTTCCCCCTCTTGGACCCCTCTTGGGGGCTCTCTCGGAGGGGCCCTCCTGGGCCGTCTTGGACGCTTCTTGGGCCGTCCTGTGGCCCTTGAGCGTCTCGGGGCCCTCTTGGGGGCCTCTTGGGCCGTCTTGGGGTGATCTGGGAGGCCTCTTGGGCCGTCTCGGACGCCGTGAAAGCTGAAAAGCCGGATGCCGCATATGCTAACACAGTGCGTTTTCTTCACGGAATGGCGCAGCTTTTGCCTCTGGTAGCTCTGTAGGGAGGGCTCTTGGAGGCCTCTTGGGGCGTCTCGGAGGCTTCTTGGGCCGTGTGGAGGCCATCTGGATCGTCTTGCACCGATCCCTCGGCGACCCAGGGCCCTCTTGGACCGGCATCTTGGGGCCCTCTTGGCCCGTCTTGGGGCCCTCTTGTGGCACTCTGGGGCCCTCCCGGGGCGCTCGCGGCCCAGCGCCCTACCCCCGCGGGGCCCGCGGCCATCTGCTCCGCCGCCTCCCCCATGCCGCCCAGGCAGTTCGTGCCCGTGGAGTGGGTGATGGGCTCGCCAGACCCGCAGCCCCCGGCGCCGCCCGCCACCACCCGGCCGCCCCCCCGCGCCGTGGCCGGCTGGGACCCTGAGATCCTGGCGTTGCAATTTGTGCCACAGCGGGCGTTCTCTCCGGGTTTCGGGCCCCGGGGCCCTCACAGATCGATCGGGCTCGAAAAACGGTGCAGCAAGGTGGGTTCCAGGGCTCCGGTCGCGATTTTTCGGGATATTGCAATTCTGCGCAACGTTGGATCTGAGGACAGCCTCGGCTGGTGCCCCGAGGGGGCCTGGCCTCACAGCGCGGGGGGCCCAGATCAGGGGTGGGGGATTGGGCCCAGAGGGAGCCCGCGGCTAGAGGGATTTCTCGCTCTTTCTTTTCCTCTCGTCCGTCGTCCCTCGCCCCTCCCTTGTGCTTGCTCATCGCTCCTCCCCTCCCCTTCCCTCCGCTGGGCCACTGCTTCCTCCTCTGGTCGGCTGCTGCCCATCCATTCCATTCATTCCTCCTCTGCCGTCCACTGTCCTCCACTGCCATCCATTCCTTCGGCATCCTCCTCTGGTCGGCCACTGCCCACCGCGACTAGGCCGGCGCTCCGCCTGGCCGCGGCCCCGCGGCGCGCACCCCCAGAGGAGGCGGGTCTGCTCGCCCTTGCGCCGAGTCTCCCCCCAGACACCCGATGGTTTCACGCTGTCGAGACCCCAGGCGTGCCCCATCATGTGTTCGGAAGGGTGGAGAGCATGCTCGTGTTCTGGCGTTCGCAAACAGTCCGTCAATGGTTCGGAGCGATCTGCTCGCGTGGTCCGAGGCCCCCAACGGCCTCGTCCACGGCCGCTGAGTTGAGAGGAAGAGGAGACCCTTAAAACGATTCGTAAGCGGCCCGGGAGCAGAGGCTCGCGAATGATGGTTTTTTAAGTCAGCCCTAAGTCGAGATTCCTTCCCGCGGACCAGCCCTACAGCCAAGACGCTGAAATAAGGAACAGTTTGGATTCGGAAGGGGCTCGATGTTTCTTACGTCCTTCCGTGGCTGTTTCTCCAGCCCCTCTCGTGCACCCAGGCTTCTTGGAAGCCACAGAGGGGCTTCTTTCCTACACCCAGCTTTCGTTATTTAAGCAGCCTGGCTGTACATCCCGAGGCGTCTCTCAGGCGGCCCACAGGGCCCGCCGCCGCCTCGCGCGCGCGAGGGCCGCGCGCCGGGGCTCCCCGCCAAACCCCGCCGCGGCGCCGGCGGCGCGGCCCGGCGATGCCCCGCGGACAGCGGAGGCCGTCGAGCGCCGCCGCCGCAGCCGCCGCCGGCGTCGCCGCCGCTGGGAGTCGCCAGCCGCTGCGAGTCGCCGTCGCCGGTGCCACCGCCGAGGCGTCGCCGGCGCCCACACCGCCGTCGCCATGTGGTGTCGCCGCCACGGCCGCTGCTGGCGTCGCCATAGACGCCGACGTCCACTGTGCCGGCCGCAGGCAGCATGCACGGAGCGCTGCGGTCCTCGAAGTCGTCGTCGCCGGGCGGGCGGCGGGACGGATCACTGCTTAAGTGCGAAATCAACCCCAACCCGAGCCGAAGGTCCCAGACCCCGACAACTTTCAGGCTGCGGGGCGTATGGGTTCCACAGTGTCTTCTCAACGTTCTGGAGTGCCTCCCCGCCGGAAATGGACGATCCCAAAGGTGATTTTGGGTTGGGTTGGGGTTGTTTGGTAGGTCGTCAATGGAGGGGACGGTGGGAGGAGGGAGGAGGGAGGAGGGAGGAGGGAGGAAGGAGGAAGGAGGAAGGAGGAGGAGGAGGGGGACCAGTGTAAACCCCTAAACTCATCAATCATGTTGGAATACACCCTCCGCCGAGCTCCCTCTCCATAAGCCCCTACAAGAGTTCAACTCCTCTGAGGCAAGTGCCCCGTTGGGAGACAACCGTTTGACGATCCTGAAGAATACCAAAACACCATTCTCGGAACTTCAACGCCACTAATTAACCTGACTGTTGCGTCTTGACGATCCCAAGTCGTGCTAGAATACCATTCCTGGGATTTCAACATTGGGAATCAACGTAACTGTTGCGCCCTGGCAATCGTGAGGCGCTCCAGAACATTATCTCCGGTACGTTCATCATGGGAACCTGCGAAATTCTTTCAATACCAAAAACGAAAGTGCGCGGCGCTATGGCGAGAGCCACCTTTTGAACAGGAGCCGCCCTCAATCCGAGAAGCTCTTTGTACATCTTGAAGACGAGTGTGCGCGGCGCTCAGGCGAGAGCCACATTTTGAAAAGGAGCCGCCCTCAGTCCGTGAAGCTCTCTGCGCATTTTTAAGACGAAAATGCGCGGCGCTAAGGCGAGAGCCACATTTTGAAAACGACCCGCCCTCAATCCGTGAAGCTCTTTACAGTTTTAAAGACGAAAGTGCGCGGCGCACAGGCGATAGCCGCATTTTGACAACCACCCGGCCTCCATCTGTGAAGCTGTTGCCATCTGTTAAGCTTCTGGGTCATAAGTTCTGAGGACGTCTCAGGCGAAACGCCCAGCCCGCCCTTCTGACTGGCCTCGGGGTGCGACAGGGAGGAGTAGTTCAGATCAGAAATATAAATGGAACAGGAGAAGGAGGAGGGAGGAGGAGGAGGGAGGAGGGAGGAGGGAGGAGGGAGGAGGGGGGGGAGGAGAGAGGAGGAGGAGGGAGGAGGGAGAGGGAGGAGGGATGATGATGATGATGAGATGATGATGATGATGCTGATGCTGATGATGATGATGCTGCTGATGAGGTGATGATGATGATGATGATGATGGTCATGATGATGTGATGATGATGATTGATGATGCTGATGATGGGATGATGATGATGATGATGATGGTGATGATGATGATGATTATGATGATGATGATGATTATGATGATGATGATGATGATGATGCTAATGATGATGCTAATGATGATGATGATGATGATGATGATGATGATGATGATGATGATGATGATGATGATGATGATGATGATGATGATGATGATGATGATGATGATGATGATGATGATGATTGATGGACGATGAGGAGGAGGAGGGAGGAGGAGGATGAGCAGGAGGAAGAGGAGGAGGCGGAGGCGGAGGAGGGAGGAGGAGGAAAAGGAGGAGGAGGCAGGAGGCGGGGGGAGGAGGGGAGAGGGGAGGAGGGAGTAGGGAGAGGAGGAGGGAGGAGGAAGCAGGGTGCAGGGAGGAGCAGGGGAGCATGGTAGAAGCGGGGGAGCCCGGGGGAGTGGGAGGAGGCCTCTTCCTCCCCTCTCCCTTCCTCCTCCTTCTCCTTTTTCTCCCGCCCCCTCTCCCTCTCCCTCTCCTCCTCTTCCCCCACTCCTCCTCCTTATTCTTCCTAATTGCTCCCTCCTCCTTCTCCTCCTCCTCCTCCTCCTCCTCCTCCTCTCCTCCCGCTCCTCCTCCTCCTCCTCCTCCTTCCTCCTCCTCTCCTCCTCCTCCTCCTCCTCCTCTCCTCCTCCTCCTCATCCTCCTCCCTCCCCTTCCTTCTCCTCTTTCTCCGTCCCTCCCTCTTGTTCTCCTTGCCTCTTCCCTCCTCATTCCTCCTCCCTCCTCCCCCGGGCGCCCGGAGGCTTTGGAGCTCGCGCCGCGTGGCCACGGTGGGCACGTCGCGCGGGAGGCGCCCTCGTGCGCAGGTGGGTGGGGCGGGATGGGGTCGGGTGGGGGGGGGGGCGAGCACAGGTCTTCGTCCTGCTGCTCGCCTCAGGGGCAACGTTGGGGGGGGGGGGGGATGAGCTCAGGGGGGCGATGCATCGACCCCCAATCGCCCAATGCTCCCCGATAGGGGCCCGATGGCCCCACCCCGCCTAGGTACGCGCGGATTCGCTATCCGAGGCCTCTTGCCGATCTGTCGGCGATGCATCGCCAAGGCAAGTCTGGTGCTTCCCACCTCTGGGCTGGTCCTCCCCGCTCGTCCCCCCCCTCCTGCTCCTCTGGGCCCCGGCTGTTGCCCCGAGCCGGCTTGCCCCAGGGGGTGTTCTCCAGGAGGCCTGCGCCATGCCGCCCGCCCCCAGAGAAGCAGGTGTTCGGCGCCCGGTGTCGTACGTGTCCGCCCTCGCCAGCGAGGGCCCCCCGCGTGTCCCTGCCCACGGGTTCTGGGACGACGCCCGGTGCCCCTCGAGGGGGGAAGTGGCGGAGCTCAGCGGGCGGCGGGTCGGGGTCTACCGATTCGATGTCTGCTCGAGCCGACCATCGATGTCGAACTCGATATCCGATATTGGTCAGATGTCGTTTCGATCTCGATTCGGTATCGATCCCATCTAGTCCCGATTCCGATTTCTCGTCGGTCCGATGCGGCCCGGTGCTTGCATGGCGTTGTTGTGCATCTCGGCGCAACGGATCCGATCCGATTCCGACTCCGTGCTGGACGAGCAGGCTCCGAGCAGGAGCAGCCCTCAAGATAATCAATGCGGGGACTTCTGCGAGCTTCTCGAAACACTATCGGGATGCTTTCTTGAAGCTTGCTTGAGGTGCTTCTTCGGAAATTGGAGCATGTACACTACCAGTGGCGCGCTGTTATTCTGTCCCAGGACTTCTTCAGGGTCGGAGACGACGTTTCGGTGCAGAGCCGGAAAACGCGCCGGTGTATAGAGTTCGGTTCTTTACTTCTGGGATTCTCGGGGGCCGTCTTACGGACCCGTCTGGGCTCCTCTTGGAACGCTCTCGGTCATCTTGAGGTCTTCGAGGCGCATCAGAAATGAAAAGGCCCGAAGGGCAAGTCGACATAACAAACTGACGGTGTACACTGATGTGTGCCTCTCGGGCGCATCCTTGGGAGGCTTAGTAGCCACATCGAGTCGTCTTGGGTCCGTGTTGGTGGCCGTTGGTGGCCATATTGGATCTGCTTGGTAACCCTACGCCGCATCGGAGATAACGTTGGGCGACATGAGAACATCTTGACGCCACCCCAGACCACTTTGGACTCTCTACATGGTCGCGAGGAGCCCCGCTCAACCCCCTGGAGACAACTTCCCTTACGGTCGGGCGCTTTTGGCTAGCGTGTCGCTGCGCTGGTTCCGGCCCACCGCGTTTCGGCGCGACACGTTACAGTCGGGGCCCTGAAGAAGGAACCCTTTTCGTTGGGGAGGTGTTCCTTACTTGTTTCGCAGCTTGCCTCGGATTTTCCTTAGGTTTTCGACACGAGATCGAAGTTCAACTCATGGAACATAGGGGCCTCGTTCCTTATTTAGGGTTCCTTAGGTCAACGCCTCGACTGTATCACTCGGGCGAAGAGAACTATGCACATGCACCGATCCTGGCAAGGCCCATCTTTGACCCAGGATCGGTGCATATGCCTTCCTGGCCAAGGTAGGAGGGCGTATGCACCGATCCTGGGCTCAGGATGGTCCTGGCCAGAATCGGTGCATGTGCATAGTTCTTTCTCCTCTAATCACGCCCCAACCCCCAGGGGTCCACGTCCCGAGCTCTCCCGAGCCTCCCGCCCTGCGGAGCTGAGCGACACGCCATCCGCTTGCAGTGCCTATAGCGCGTCGCCCGGGCCGCCGGGGCGACGCGCCATCCAAGAGTTCCAGGAGGAGGAGGAGGAGGAGGAGGAGGAGGAGGAGGAGGAGGAGGAGGAGGAGGAGGAGGAGGAGGAGGAGGCGCCCCACACAGCGGCCCAGGAGGGCCCCGAGAGCTCCGGGGAGGCCCCAGGAGCGCGCCAGCAGAGCCCTCAAGCCAGGAGCACCCCGAGAGGTGTTCGGGAGGCCCCGAGAGGCCGGGCTCCAGCCTGCAAGATCCGAGGCTCCGCAGAGCGAGGATTTGCCTCTGGGGCTCGCCCTGTCCCCCCACGGTTGGCCCGGGGCGTCTCCGCACCAGGCTGCCAGGCTTTTCCAGCCCACAGGCGGAGGGGGAAGTGTTGCTGCGTGGGGAAGGGGGAGGACTCGGCGGCGAAATCCGAACCCTGCCCTCGCCGATCAACGATTCAAGCAGTTCGATGGGCGGCGGGGGTGGGGCTCGAACCTCGTCGAACACGTGGCGAAGTCAGAACCCCTACCCCCACCTCCCATCGATTCAGGAGAATCGATGGTTGGTGGGGGCAGGACTCGGAAGTCGCCACCTAAGGAGACGCCTTTCCTGAAGGTGAAAGAGGGGTTGACTGGGAAAAATTGATCCGATCGCGCCGCATCGCCGAAGCATCGCCGATGCGGCTCGATGTGGAGGCCGATGTTCTCGACGCCGACGTCGACGATGCTTGCCGACGTTGCCGTTGCATCGCCGATGCATCGGCGATGAACAGGGGATGTGGCGCGAACCCCCGACCTCATCCACCAGGACTACATTCAGGAGGCCTCTAGAGGTCTAGACCCTGGCGCCTCTTTGCATCCTGTCTGCAAGGGGGGTGGTTTTCCGCCGGCTGCCTTTCCACCAGGGCGCGAGGCCACGGACTCATCATCCCACGACTCTCTGTCATGTGATCGCGCCGGGTTGGTACGTAGCCACTTCGGCTCAAGGTGGCCTCGTCCAGGTGCGCAAGCAGCCGCTCGTCGCGCCCCAGGATGGTCGTCGTGGTCTCGCCGTGGGCCCACGGCGGCGCCGACATGGCACACTCACGCGTTGCAGGCGCTGGCGGCGTGCTGCCCCTCTGGGCTATCGGCGCCGCCCCGTGCCACGCGGCACGGCCTCCGCGCCTGCGCGCGTGCACGGGTGGTCGCGGGCTGCCAGGGAATTCTGCGCTGCACGGCCTCGGCCAGACCGAGGCGCTCTTCTTCGTGCGCTGCCGATGCGTGCGCCAGACCACCCGCAGCCTGGCCACGGTCCTAGCCGCACTGCGACAACCGCGGAGCGTGGACCGCACGGGAACGAGGGAGAGATGCTCAAACCATACTGAGCTAAAGCCGTCGTTAGGATATTATTGGATTTTCTATATCGGGCGAGGGCCTCGAAAAGGCGTTATTTCCGTCGAAATCACGATCAAGAAGCGTCAAGCTGTCCGACTGCCCCAGCGTTTTACGTAGTGTTTAGGGTCTAGGACTTAGGGTGTCCAATCATCTCCCCATCCATTCCCCGCCAGCCTTATTCTTATCAGCCTGGCGCGAATGGGGAGGCACATGCAAACACGAATGCACAGGATCGCCATAAGTCGTTGTGCATGCTGGATCCAGCGCAGCATGTGGAACCATATCTACACAGCTTGTGAAGGATCTGCGACTGCCCGTGTCCTCGATACCCCGACATCTGCCGCTGTGAAGAAGTCACAACCCTTAGAAGCAATTTTTATGTTCGAGAGGGCCCCATGGCCTTCAGCGCAACAAGACTGGCTGCTGTGCTCTTTCCACGGCGCCCGAGTGCCATGGCGACTCCTATTCTCCCTTCGGTGCGGCAGGTGCGCGCATCCCGACCTTCCAAGCGGTGTCCGAGCTGATGGGGCCGAAGGATCGCGCCGCATGCGGCTCGATGCGGAGCCCGATTACCTTCGCGACGACGGCGTCGATGCACCGCCGCCGATGCATCGGCGATGCGGCCCCGTCTGCTCGGACCCCACTTGGGAAGCCTTCGGAGCACAGCTCCAGCGAAGCGCGTCGACGCCGGCACGGGCGGTCTGAACCAGGCTGGCCTTGAGCGATCTCCGCTGCTGGACAGCGGGGATCGCTCGGGATCGAGCGCCCTGCGCGGCGTCGGAGGCCCATGCTCGCGTCGGCGGAGGCGCCCAGAGGTCCCATGGAGGCCTGCAATCACAGGTCTGGGGAAGTGCTTGGCTCCTCGGGGGTCATCTGGAGGCCTCCGGAGAGCTTATGTTGAAGACGCCCTACGGCAACTTCTCAGCGACAGATCCTGTCGCAGCTGCTAATTGTGGGCACGGCGTCTTGGATGTCCACAGGACTTCGGCTTCTCGTCGTGACTCGGTGGCACTTGCGAAAGAGGTCCTACGGAGGCCTCTGGAGGCCCCCAGAGGCCACCGGAGGCCCCGCAACAGAAGGGAAGGCGTCCAGAAGCGCGCCTCGTCGATCCTCTGGGGGCTCCAGGGAGTCCAGGGCAGAGCTCGGGCAAAGGCGTCGAATGATGATCGGTGGGCGAGCGGTGGCTCTCGTCGCTTGCGGCAAAACGCTTCCCCCGAGGCCCATTCGTCGCTGTCTGTTTCGCCATCTGATCTTTTCACGACGCGGATCCTCAGAGGTCTGGACCCCTCCCAGCTGAGTCGTTTTTTGACGGCCCCGAGGCCAGGCAAGGGCCCCTGCAGGCCGGAAACCTCGCAATACTTCCCCTTGTGGTTGTTGTTCGCGTCGCGGAGGGGGTCTGGGCGGCGTGCACTCTCAGCTGTCCTGACACGCCCGTCTTGAAGCGCCGCAGTACGGACCGTGCTCAAGATCGGGCGACGAAATCTATACATATCCACTGCTCCCTGACCATGCCCATCTTGAACCCAGGAGCTGTGTATGCGCCCTCCTGGCCAAGCCAGGAGGGCGTGGCGTATACACCGCTGCGGGGTTGAGGATGGGCCTGGCCTGGGAGCAGTGGATATGTATAGATTCCGTCGCCCTATCAAGACGCCCGTGCCAACACGCTGCGTGCTGCCTCGGCGTATCGGCCTACGGTGTGGCCGCAGCACCACGCCCGCCGCGCGGGCTGCGTGCTGCGCATCGGGGCGGCTGCGGCGTGCCGTGCTTGCGGGGGCCCACGCCGCCAGAGCTCACCGCACCGCGGGCCACGGGCGAGGCCGCGGGCGAGGCCGCGGGCGAGGCCACGGGCCACCTGCGGGGCACGGGCCGCCCCTGGGGGGGGCTGCGGGCTGCGGGGGCGCCCGCGCGCGAGGGCGCGCCGCGCGACGGCCCGCGCTCGTCGTGTCTCGCGCGCTCGTGGCCTCGAGTGCTCCGCGTCGTGGGCAACAGCCGCGGCCGACGGTTTCTCACTATCTTCGGCCTCCTTGGGGGCCTTCACCAGGCCTCGGGACCGTCGAGAACGCCTCAGGATAAAAACCCTGGTCCCAGGGCATGGGTCGAGATCCCTGGGGGTCGACGCTGTAGGATAATCATGACGTCTGGGGTATGGTTCTGCTGCGGGCGCCCCCCTGAGCGGAGCCGGCGTGGGGGATCTCTCGGGGCCCCTTTGGGGTTCTTCCTGGTTCGTTTGGGGGCCTCTCGGGGCTTCTTGGCCCATCTTGGGCGACGCTTGTGGCACATTGGGGCCGCTGGAGGCATTGTTGGTGATCCTAGATCTTTGTCGGGGCTTCTGGTTGCCGTTTTTGGAGTCGCCCTGCGACATAGGGGGACTTGAACAGACGACGGGCAAATTTCAGGCTGCTGCTTTCTCCGCAAAGAGCGCTCGCACTGAGGTGTTCTTCATTGCTTCCCCAGGTTCTCGCCCAGTCGTCGCCCGTGGCCGCCTCGTGCGCTGGTCCGGCTCCCAGGGTTTTCGCGAGCTCGTCGCCCGTGGCCGCCGCCCCGCGGCGGCCTCGTGCGCCGGGTCGTGGGCCCGTGGCCGCCGCGTGCGCTGGCCGGGCTCTCGCCCTGTCGTGGGCTGTGGACTTTGCGCCGCCGGCGTGGCTGTGCCCGGAGGCTGATTCCACGCGTGTTGGCTCGCTCCCCAGGCTTCACGCGTTGCAGGCGTGATCGGCAGGAAGCTGGCTCCAAGCGTGGGGGGCTCGCGCCCGCCCGTCATCCCGCTGCCAGCGCTGCTGCTAGCAGGCTCAGCCCGAGCGTGCCGCACGCGTCTGGCGCACGTTGTCTTGCCAGTGTTGTCTCGAACCAGGCGTGCCTAAGAGGCTCCTCCTGTCCACCTGTCTATACCTTGAGATAGGGGCGTTGCACATTTTCCACGCTGGGGGTCATCGGTCATCGCCCGGTTTCGGGCCCTGGGGCCATCATAGATCTACCCGGTTCGAAGAAAGCCGCAGAACGATGCAAGATGGGGTCCAGGGCTCCGGCCTAGCTTTTGTTTTAACATTCGGATCTTGCATAGTTTTTCGCGACGTCGGATTTCAGAGTAGGTGTCATGGGTCGGTATCCCTCCCGTGTCGTTGGCGAGGCCCCCCCGTGAACTTCGCAGGAGTGCTTGCTCGCTTCTGGTGCACCTCGCGCTGCTGGCATTATCGCCACGGAGCTCCTTCCGAGCGGGATGGCTCGCTTCCCCAGCACATCGCACTTCGTGCTGACTCGCTTCGTGTGCACCCTGCCTTCTCATCTCGCTCCCCAGCTTGGCTTACCCAGAGGGCGCTTCCCGTCCATGCTCGTAGCTCCCTCACTGCAGGTGCCCTGGGCTGATGTCCCTCCCACGGCCTTCCCGTGGCCCTCCCGTGAGCCTCGCAGGTGTGCTGGCTCGCTTCCGGCGCGTTCTCCCAGATCGCTCTCCACCAAAAAGTGCAAAAGCACAAGCAAGCACTAGAACAACAATAAGGCCGATCGGCGCAAGCCACCGCGCCCTTCAGCCCGCCTCCATGAACCAGACAAGGTCGGACTTGAGTGCTGGGCCGATTATAAACGGCTCCAGATAACGGCTCCAGGGCGCTGGATGCATTCCAAGGAAAGCATACCCTTTGCGCTTTTCCTCGCTCTCTTCTGCCTCGCTCTCGGTGTGTCCTGCGCGGTACCTGCGTACTCCCGCGCAGCAGCCGCGCAACCCCTGTACAGTCCCTGCACGCTCTTGCGCGGTCCCTGCATACCCCTGCCTGCCTTCCTCCTGGTTGCCCCGCACGTGGGCTGGCGGATTGCATATTTACCCGATTTGATGAATTCGCTTTGCGATGCGCGAGCTGCTCGGCTGACTCGAGACAGCCGGTGTCGCCGCGCACCCTTGACTCACGCTTCACCGTGGCAGGGCAAAACGAGAATCATCATCATCACCATCATCATCATCATCATCATCATCATCATCATCATCATCATCATCATCATCATCATCATCATCATCATAATCACTATCATCAACAACATCATCATCAGCATCGCCACCACTATCATTATCATCACCAGCATCGTTACCATCGTCATCATCTTGCTTTCATCGTTATCATCATCATCATCATCATCATCATCATCATCATCATCATCACCATCATCACCACCCTCACCATCACCCTCACCATCATCACCCTCACCATCATCACCATCATCACCATTCTCAACATCGTTATCATTGTCATCATCAACATCACCATCAGTATGCCGTATTCTCTCCGTCTTCGAGCATCCCCTTCCTATCATTTTCCGCTCAAGGTGGCAATTTCGATTTGCGTCGTCGAAGTTTTTGCTGCTTGGCAAGAGTATGCGCTGTCAGTGGGGCGTTGTAGCGAATCCAGCTTTCTGCGGCGAGTCTACCACCGTGCCAGCGAAGCACTCAGTGTGACGACCCCTTGATCAACGCCCAGGAGGCCGTCACGTGTATGTGATCATATCGTCTTGGCCTCTTGAGTGGCTCCCGCTATGCGGTTTTGCCTTCTCAGGGGCTGTCTTGGGCACCTGCGAGGCACTCTCGCGGATCCATTGGGGCCATCGGGCGCTCTTGGGCGTCCCTTGGGTCGTCTGGTGGGCGCTCTTGGGCAGTCTGGTGGTGGTCGTCGTCGTAGAAGTGATGATGATGACCGCTCTGCGTGGGCGAGGCGTCCTCGGTGCCCTTCAGCGCGAGCCGGGGCGCACCGCTTGGCGCGCTCTGCGTGGGCGAGGCGTCCTCGGTGCCCTTCAGCGCGAGCCGGGGCGCACCGCTCGGCGAGCCGTGCCGCCGCTGTGGGGCGCGCCGGGTGCGGCCCCGTGGCGGCACACGGCGGCGGCAGTGGCCCACGGCGGCAGAGCGGCGGAGGACGGGGGCGGAGCTCGTGGTGGCAGCGGCAGTGGGAGTGCAGGGCTGGTTCTCCAGGCAGCTCTCCCCCTCCTCAGGAGTGGTGCTCTGGCACGTTTTGGATTGCAAAAAAAGGATTGCAACAAAAACCCAGGGTTTTTTTTGCAATCCAGGTTTTTTTGCAATCCAGGGTTTTTTTGCAATCCAGGGTTTTTGCAAAAGGATTGCAAAAAAGGGTTTTTTTTGCAGTCCAGGGTTTTTTTGCAATCCTTCGTTTTGGGACTGTTGGGGCGCAGCAGCCACGTCGAGTCGCGGTGCTGAAGTCCCAGGAACACCCGCCAGCATGCCCGATACCCCCGCAGCGGTTCGCAGCCAGCGCGGCGTGGTGCTCTGACATTATCAGGGATTCTCAGACGGCTGCCTTCCAAGGGGGCACTTCCCGCAATGACAGTTCTTATAGGGGTAGGGAGCTTGGAGGCGGATTTATGGCAGAATCGCTGGTTTGCCTTGGGTCTGCACTGATCCTCTTCCTCCTCCTCCTTTCCTCCACGCCGCTTCCTTTCCCTCTCACCCTCCTCGCCCCCACGACCATCTCGGCTCAAGCGGCGCCGATTCGCGCCGATCTGCGCTTTTCTTCTATCACCTTACACTGCTTGGGGGACGCCATCTGCCCACCTGCACCAGTCCAGGCCAGGCCAGTCCTGGGCCTCAGCGCGGTGCATGAGCCCACGCGGCCTGGCTGGGCCACTAAGCCAGATCTCTGGCGGATGTTCTAAGTCCTTTGCGTTTTTCCTTCGTTTAGTTATGTGGGGGGCGTTTGCGGGCCCCAGGGCCATCAGCAAACGATCCTGGATGAATAACTGGCTCTGGGGAGGAGTCGAGGATTTGATGATTCTTCGGATTGAACAAGTCCATCCGCCAGAGGTCTTCGAATGCTTATCTGGTATTCACCGAGTCTCAAGCAAAAGGGAAAGAGGCTTGCAATGCTTGCCGGTAGGGTGGGTGAGTCCCAGGTTTTTTTGAGCCCACCATGTGCCCTGCATCTATCAGCTCCGCCTCCGGTCCCATCGTCGACCATGCTCGTTCGATGCTGTACCGTAGCCTATTTAGCCCGAAGAGCCTCTGGGGGGCGAAAACTTATGTAGGGATACAGTCAGGGTCTATCTGACCTCAGTTCTTGATGATCAGCTTGATAAGGTTGCCCACCCCAGTACCTCTGGCAGGCCATTGAAGAGTCCGCTCGCGCCACACTTCGCGAGTTCATCAGTTCGGTCGTTCAGGAACCGTCCCATGTGAGACGACCAAGTTCATCAGCCAGGTGCCGAACATGTAGGGCTAACCTGATATTCTAGTGTGCTCTCGAACGTCTGCGTGCTATGTTGACCGCGTGCTCCGAGTCATACTCAATGCAACATAATGCAGAGTATGCAGAAGACGACGATGTACGGAAATGATCGCGTGTGAAAGACAAGGCGTACATAATGGCGCTCAGCTTACCGCCGTTGTTCGAATGTCTGCGCGCAACAACGCAACAAGGATCGGATTCAGCAAGGATGGTGGGCCCGCAGAAGTCCAGCAGCGGGCTTGGGCTTGATCTTCTTCAGTGGCCGACGAGTTGACCGGGAAATCTTCTGCAAAACTCGCGACCGCGTAGCCTCCTCCTATTCTTGATACTCGATCCAAGACAAGTCCTGCTCTTGGACCCAGGTCTTGGCTGACCAGGATCGATGCTTTCAGGCCTCGGATGCCCCGGCTTGCTTGATGCGTCGGGGCTCGCGGCCCGATCCCCGTGCCCAGCTCCTTGCCCCAGATCGTTATATGTGATGGCCCATGGGGCCCGAACGGGGCCCTGGACGCCGCCATTCAGCAACAACGCCCGTTGTGACAATGTCGACGCGCGTAGGTCGGGGCCCTGGTCCTCAAAGCTGAGCCTCAGGTGCGCTCCCCGCCTATGATCCAGAGGTGGGTCC